CTCTTGCCTCCCAGACGTTCTATCACAAAGTTTCAATAATGCATTTTATTGTGCACTTTCGATTCTTCAGAGATAAAAACAGCTTTGGGGTATACATTTTTAAAGTAATGGCAGCAGTAATGAATTATTGGTTGGTTTTAATTACTGTGAAGAAAATATTGCTCACTGTTACATGAGTTGCTGATATGAAAGGATAGGAATTTAAACAACCTGTGAAAAAGCAAAAACTTGAAACTTTGCTAAAAGTTTATATTTCATTCAAGCTACCTTCCCTTAATGTATTACAATTAGTGTTGCAGTTGTTCTGCATTAATATCCAACATAATATTGATGATTTTTCTTAGGATTCTGACGAGCCATTCCTGTGTCCAGGGAGTAAGACTATTTCTTGAAGCCTTGTAGAGGGCATTAGATTAGGTAAAGCATGGCATTTGTGACGCTAGATTGTGTATCTACTGACGTCCCACCACACTGTATTTGGCTTCAGGAATAGAAACAACAAAGGCTTTGGCTCCAGTCCAGCAATACATTTGCAGATGAACTAGCTACATTTCTGACTAATATGTTCCAGTTATTGTTCCAACTGCCAAATTTTGGATAGGCAATAAATGCTGGCTATGCAAACTGATTAATAATCAGATAATCTGTTTTCTAGTTATGTTGGTTGAGGGGACATACAGAGATTTCGGCCAATATTTCCCGGTCTTCAACCAATCATGCAATCAGATCTTTTGATTTGAGCTGAGTGATTGGGCAGGGTTGTGACCTTCTGTCTGATCTGAAAGACTGCAACTCTGACGGCACAGCACTCTGGTGCTGTATCACATATGGAAAACAGCAATGATTCTTTCATTACTATCCTAGTTGATGTCCTGTAATTAAAACTTTATTTCTGGTAATGCAACATTGTATTTCACTCTTGTAGGTCAGAGAAAATTTGAACTGTTTCAGTAAAATTGTGATGACTTAGTACAAATGAACATTTGAAATGTACCTCTTTATGGATTAACATATGTTTAAAAAGTTATGACATTTTACTTTAATCATAAGCTGAGCTAATTCATTTCAGTTAAGATATTTCACATTAGATATATAAATCCAAGAACATGTGGAATAAACATATGGCACATGAGTTCCTTTTGTAAACTTATAAATTTAGCTTTTGGATCTGATTCAACAACAGGCTGAAAAGTTCCAACCCTCTTTGAATTAAAGAAAGCAATGTAGTTAATACATTTAAAAGCTGTAACTCCTTGGTAAGGAATTTCAGAATGAATGGGTGTAGTTCGTTGGGAATATTGCAAGGGGAAGGGTGATGATCTGTTGTGCGCACAATTTGCTTTTGAGAACTGATGTCAGCCAAAGTTTTTTTGTGATTCTGTTGCTAAGCGTTTAACCTTTGAAACTTGAGGTTATGCTGGAAGATGTAAGGAATCCAATTAACAAAGTGAATTTTCTTGATTCACAAAGTGACTTTGCATCTTTCTAATTGCATGAAAAATAAAACTCCACCCACTATTAAACATTGTAGGAACTCCCAATAATTATTTGAACTTATGCTTGAACTAATATGGGTTTACACTTTTTTGATCAAGGTAGTACAGAGAATCTTCTTATTTTCTGGTAAGCTAACTGGTGTTAATGACTAATTTGAGGCAGATTTTATTGTTTAAAAACAGCATTTAATTTTTTTATTGTGGAGGAAGGTTTTAATTATTGAGCTAACTTTGAAAACTAAGTATGTGAAGAATAGGGCATAACTTCTGGCTATCTGCAAGGGAGTATCACTATGCAGGTCTGACATGCATGTGAATATCTAATTGGCTGTACAGGTGATTATTGGTAGTGGTTAGTACTTGGGGGGAAAAAAAGCCAATGTTAGGTGGATTAACCTTGCTAACTTACCGCTAATGTCCAGGAACGTGCAGTCTAGATGGTTTAGCTGTGGGAAGTACAGAGTTACAGGTTCAGGGTGCCCTTCAGAAGGTCGGTATGGACTCGATGGGCCGAATTGCCTGCTTCTGCACAGTAGGGACTTTATGTTTCTATAATTCTGTTTCTTTGTGTTTTTTCTCAAGCATAAACTTTGGACTGCAAATTTATGTCACAGCAATGCATTTTGCTTAATATCAAGTAAATATTTAGCACTCTGTCCTGCAGTGAAGCACTTCAATATTAAGATCACATCAGAGGTCACATAGTGTGCTTGCATGAACTTTGCAGATGGTCACAGCTCAAATTGCACTTTCAGAGATGCCGTGATTATCTACGTAATGTAAATGAGAAAGAAGGCAAACATTACATCATGAAAAGCTGCAAGGTGTTTATTTATCTATCTATTAATATAGTGGGAGCTAAATATGCAATATGCATTTAAATTAAAAATGAAGAACAAATTACCGTTAGTAGATGCTGTAGCTACCATTATTAGCTGTTGGAGAAAGTGACAAAAAATGGAATGAAAAATGTTTGTAATATTGTTATCTGGGCAATCTTGCCACAGCTGGTGTTGCACCCAAGAAAATGAAGACTAAATGTAGTTTTCCAGTGAAGTAGGATTTGTGAGTGAGGTAGGAATATGATCAGGATGCAGACCTAAATCAGTGTTCATTTTAAATCATAAATTTTAATCACTTTTATATAGTACATCAATTTGACTAGTAGTAAAACATTTAAAAGCATAAGCAAATTTGGGAAACTGTGCCAAAGTAAACTTGAGTTGGGGTTTCTCTGTAGTACAGGTTGAGGAGCTGAATATTCAAAACTGAGTTGTTTCTTGTCACCACTGGTGGTAAGGTGTAATTATAATATGATAATTTTCATACATAAAACAATACAGATGCTGCAAATTGGTGATAAAACAGAGCATGCTGGATATACTGACACAGTATCTGTGAAGAGAAAGCAGAGTTAATGTTGAATGAAATACAAGTGACTGATCTGAAACATTAACTCTTCTGTTTCCAAAGTTGCTGTCTGACCTGCTGATGTTTCCAGCATTTTCCGTTTTAAAGCCAAATTTGCATAGTCAGCTTGAATTAGAAGTGTGAATATAACGATGGATTACTCACATTGCAAGAATTATATGTGCAGTATATGTCCAGTCTAATAATTTATTACTTTTCTGGGCTGTCGCAAGTAGGATGGAAATTCATTTGTTTGAATTATTGTGGATTTTATTTGTACTTTGGTGAATGAACAGTTTATCAAAACAAAACACATCTGAAACACATCATCAAGAAGAAGTGTAGTGAGTTTACAGGAAGCAGAAATGAAGGCCAGTAGATTGATTCAAAAAATATTTGAGAAATTTAAGGAAATTCATAAAGGAGTAAGGGATTGGCCATCCCTGATCCAGAGCAGAGACAGGGTGAGGACTTTCAGTCAATTTGAGTCAAATTGATTTGGTTGGTCAAGAAAAATACTCTTTAAACTGCATAGATTGCCTCTTTGCTTTGCGTGAGCTTTCTGTTTTCTCTCACCTGCTCACCTTCTTTTTCTCTCCTGTTCCTGGCATAAGTAAAGGCAAGGATCATGAAGCAAGTGCTTTTAATTACACATTTATTTAGATGTGAAATGGGTCTATGAATACCACTGGGAAGAATGAGTTCCATCAGTATGTTCTCTTGAAAAGTTTGGCATTTATATAACTATGTCAAGTATATTCTGTTATTTTTTTTTCCCCTAAAGCCTGCCTTTTAACTTTGAGGGGGAGCAGAATCATTCCCTCCCGAGAAGGGACAGGAAAGATAGTGGAAGGGGAAGATATAGGGCAGATTGGCACCAGGGAGTGAGCTTCATTATGCAATGCCATGCGGCTCCCCACTACCATCCGTACTAACTTGTTCTTAATCTGCATATGCCTTTCTCTGTCCTTGACAACTAACTCCATCTGTTTGCAGGCTCTAGTGGCCCACAGTGTTACTCTGCAAAGAGACCACTGCTGCACATCTTCAGCTCCATCTCAATCTCTGAGGAAGAAGCCATTCAGCGCTCAGAGTTTACATTGGCAAGGCTTTCACCTGCACCCTCCACCAGCTCTGGGACTTTTACCTCATTGGGGGTCAGGAGGGCAATCTGGTGAGCAATCCCCTGCCATCTGTGGCTGGTCGAGGACAAAATGCCCTGGGTGGCTGTTACCTTGCCAGAGACTAGGCACCCACTCAGTCACAGGGAGAAGATAATCCCATGATGTGAGTCACTCATGGCTGTTAGAAGTCACATACAGTCACAGGAGCAGCAGGCAGATTTGTCAGATACAGTTGGTAAACTGGATTGAAGGATGGAGGAGTTCACCAATATTGCCAATACTGCGCTAGGTCTGGCATCTATGCCCCTGGCTGTAGTTCACAGGCAGACTGGCCGCCACTATAAGAGGCCCAGGTCCAGCACAGTCAGTGTCTGCTCGATGCGTGCATGGACTTGCATTCTTGGTGATCAGCATTAGTGGCAGGACAGTGTCACCAGGCACCCATAGGGGGCTGTTGCTACACTCGAGACCTCCAGAATTATCTTCTCAGGACGCACCAGGGTGCCCAGTCCCTCCATCTCTCCTCTACTGATCGTAAAGCCTGCAGGAGGCTATGCCAGTGTGATTGTAGTGACTGTTTACGGCCAGGACACACTCAGCAAACTAGGCCCAAAGGCACTTGGGGGCAACTCCCTCAAGTCTTCCAGGTCAACAAGACCCACTACACAACAGGCTCCCTGCATCCAAGCTACACAGGTTGGGAATGCTTTTAAATGGGAGGCAGAGCAAGAAGAAAACTTATTGCAGGCATGTAAGTGACACAGGTAAAATATTAATGTGAATAACCTTGAACTTCTGTAAAGATATTTTCATCTACAGCCTTATAGTGCCTACTCCTAGTGCCTATGTCACTGTCTGACCTGATTAAGTCACACCCATGTGAGAGATAAGCAGTCTCTCTGACACCCTAAGGATGAATGTTGTAATTGCCAAACATTGCTTAATAGCAAGCATTGCTCATCTCTCACAAGCAGCTAACGCCTTGACTGCAGATACCAGTAACTGAGAGTAGAATTTGGGATGACTGTACTCATTTCTGGAGGGTAAGTTTTTCATTCTGTCTATCAGCTTTTAAAAGGAGTGCACTGCTATTTGAGACTGGAGCTGCCCATTGCGCACCTCCCAATGTTCCCGCTCCCTCCTAGCTTATTGAAGAAAACTAGCACAAAACACTGCCTGCTTATGGTTCAATGCTGTCCTATAAGAGTATGCTCAAGCATTTCAACACAACGTAACAGTCTACACACACTGTGGTACGTTGAATGGTTACTGATGATGACAGTCGAAGGAACATTCCTCTCTACCTGATGGCTGTCATGAAACACTTCATTCAAGACATGAATTCCTGAGAGAGGCTTAAAAGGTATCTAAGTACCATGCAAAGTTAGTGCACTGTCTCACTGACTGCTGCTTTCTTCTTAGTAGCTGGTAGACATGTTACGTGTAGATAATTGACAGTGGGACCACCCAAAAATATCAAACATAGGGTTGAAAGCATGACATTTGCTCAAAAACAGAAAATGTCAATGAGTGGTCAGTTCCACATGCTCCTTGGATTGAACAGAAGCTGCTAGACTGATTTACCAATAGAATGTTAAACAATATCCAAACACAGCTCATTCATCCTGGAAAAAGGTTTCAGTTAGGTCCTGTCTGGTCTCTTGAACTCAAAGCTGCATTGCTTTGTCATGCTGTCTTGGAGTGCCCTTCTGGCCAGCCTCCTAATCCTCACCGTCCTCATTTTATCCTCTCAAAACTGTTCTTGTTCACTCCTTTCATCTGTATCAGGACCCCAGCTCTAGTTATGAAGAGCACAGTATGCCACAAAGATGCATGGTATGCTTTCTGCCAAAGTGATTCAGGCATTAAACCTCATCTTAAGGAGATCTTTGGCTTGTTCAAATACGTATCTGCTTTCTGCATCAGTCTGACAGTCAGATAAAGATGTCAGGAACCATGCTCAGTGTGATGCCCACATTTCCCTCCATCCTTCATGTTTGTTTCATACTTTTTTTGTGTGTTGCTGTCCTTGTGGCTCCATCATATTTCCTGTTTCCACTGAGTCCTTATGATATAACTGTAATGTTGTCACCAACTTAGCCCTAACCTATATTTGATTGTATAGAGGATTGGCTATCTAATAGAATAGGAAAAGGTGAGGTGTAACGAGACCTGAGTGTTATGGTTAAACAGTTGCTGAAGATTGGTGTGCAGGTGCAGCAGGCGGTGAGGAAAGCTAATGGTATGCTGGCCTTCATAGCGAGAGGATTTGAGTATCGGAGTAACGATGTCTTGCTGCAGTTCTACAGAGTCTTGGTGAGGCCACATCTTGAGTATTGTGTGCAGTTTTGGTCTCCGAGTCTGAGGAAGGACATTCTTGCTATTGAGGGTGTCCAGTGAAGGTTCATCAGACTCATTCCCGGGATGGCTGGACTGACATACGAGGAAAGACTGGATCGACTGGGATTGTATTCACTGCAATTTAGAAGAATGAGAGGGATCTCATAGAAACATACAAAATCCTGATAGGACTGGACAGACTGGATGCAGGAAGAGTGTTCCTGATGTTGAGGAAGTCCAGAACTAAGGGTCACAGTCTAAGAATAAAGGGTAGGCCAATGAGGACTGAGATAAGGAAGAATTTCTTCACTCAGAGTTGTGAACCTGTGGAATTCTCTTCCACAGGATGCTGTTGGGGCCAGTTCATTAGATATATTCAAGAAGCAACTGGACGTGCCCCTTGTGGATAATGGGATCAAGCGGTATGGGGAGGGGACAGGAATGAGATAGTGAGATTGCATTATCAGCCCTGATCGTATTGAATAGTGGTGCAGGCTGACAGGACCGAATGACCTACTCCTCCACTTATTTTCTACGTATCTATGTAATACAGAGATCTGGGATAAGGGCAACATTTTCATCCTGTAACTAATGGAGTTCCACAGGGATCAGTGCTGAAGCACAATTATTCACAATATATATTCATGACTTGGATGAGGATGGCGAATGTAGTATAGGCAAGTTTACAGGTGATACAAAGATAAATGGGAAGGCAGTTGATGGAGATGACATGTAAAGTCTGCAGAGGGATATAACAAGGTTAAATGAGTTGGCAAAAACTTGGCAGATGGATTATAAGACGGGAAAATGTGAGGTTATGCACTTTGGCATGAAAAACAGAAGAGTTGCATATTATTTAAATAGAGAAAGACTGTAGAAAGTTACAGAACAGAAGGATTTGGACATTCTCCTCCATGAATCACAAAAAGCCAGCAACCAGGTTAGTGGGTAGTAGGGGAAGCAGATGGAATATTCCCAATCCAGAGAGTGTTTACTGGTTTGATTCTGGGTTTGGAGGGATTGGCTCATGAGGAGAAGTTGAGTAGGTTGATCTTGGACTCACTGAAGTTTAGAAGAATGACAGGTGACCTTGTTGAAACATACAAGATTCTTTGGGGGCTTGACAACGTAAATGTGGAGAAGGTGTTCTTCTTGTGTGAGAGTCTGGGACAAGAAGGCACAATCTCAGAGTAAAAGTTCACTTATTTAAAACACATGAGGAAGATTATTTTCACGAACAAAAACAAAAGTTGCTGGAAAAGCTCAGCAGGTCTGGCAGCACCTGTGAAGGAAAAAACAGAGTTAACGTTTCGGGTCCGGTGAGTCTTCCTCAGAACTCAGTCACTGGTCACCAGACCCGAAATGTTAACTCTGTTTTTCCCTTTACAGATGCTGCCAGACCTGCTGAGCTTTTCCAGCAACTTTGATTTTGTTCCTGATTTACAGCATCCGCAGTTCTTTCGGTTGAGGAAGATTATTTTGTTTTCTCTGAGGGTAGTGAAACAGTATAATTCTTTACCACAGAGGGCTGTCGAATTGTGTCATTAAGTATTTTCAAGGCTGAGATAGATTTTTTAAAAAATTGATAAGCAAGTCAAGGGATAAAACAGGAAGGTATAGTTGAGGATTGAAAGATTAGCTATGATCTCATTGAATGGCCGAGTAGAATCAATGGATTGAATGACCAACTTCTTTTCTTAAGTCTATGGCCTAAGTCATAGGTGTTCCTGAGTTCCACAATAAAATATTGAACTGAAGTGCTATGTTTGTTGGCCTGAAAGCAGGCTGATGATTTGCCACTGCTGATTTGCATGAATGAAGCGTTGAGGAAGTTGGTGACCATGGAGTACGGGGAGGTTGTTGTGAAGAATCATTTGCACGATGGCCAGGACAATTATTCAGCAAGCTGAAACTATCCGATAACCTCTCTGATTTACAAGTGGGGTAATTACCTTTCTAGATCCTTGGAGAAGGAGAGGTAAATTGGAAGAGTCATGTAAATAAGCCAAGTTCAGCCTTCAATGAAATGTAAAAGTGTGGAGATGATGCAGTTTGTCTCTCAATGGTGCGATTCTTATATCTTCATTTAAGACTTGGGGGATAATTATGAAATGTTTTCTCTGTGTCGAGATTCTGTTTTCTCTTCATTCTGTATTTTCTCACTTTTTTTCTCATGGCTGTTGGTCATGCCACACCAGGGAGGGGAAATCCAGCCCATTCTCCTATCCTGTTGTGTTACTGAGGATCCATTGGTGTACTTCATTATAAATGTCACAAAGAGTGTCAATACAACACGTTGCATTCCTGAAATGGGCTCTGCCTTCATTGACCTTTGTGTTATTTTATTTGCTATTGATGACTCAACTCTATGTAATTTAAGTAGCACTCTTCTGGGATTTCAGTACACAGATGTGTTTAGAAGTTATTGTGGTACATTATGGAATTGTAGGAGCAGGCTTGTTTTTCTATTACACATCCATAAATATTAATTAATCAGAACATTTCCACAAATATTCATTACAGATGTGTGGCTTATGTTTTGTCATTTAACTGGACACCCAAACAGACTCTGCAAGATTTCACACTGCCTGAAACACAATCTGATCATTCTTCTGTAAGTAAAAGAAAATTACTGCAAATTCTGGAAACCTGAAATAAAATCAAAAAATGATGGAAATACTTAACAGGTCTATTGGCATCTGTGGAGAGAGAAAAGTATTGGCCAAACTTTTTTCATAATCAGGCAGGTGGAGAAAGAGACAGGGTGTCAGAATTCCGATGTTACCAGTTGATTCCTGCTAGTCACCAACTTGGGAAATGTGGTGTGCCATAGCCAGGCATCCTCAAACTGAAATCAGAACTTCCCAGATTTTGCTTGCCTCTATTTTGTATTTCCTGGAGTTTGAAATTTTCAGTGAGCTGCATAGGTTTTAAAGTGTGTGTGAATCACATTAGCTTTGTGGACCATAGGGATGCTTGCTCTGGTATTGGGAACTCTTTGACAGGTAGGTTTAAGAGCTGTTGACAACTTCAAATGTCCTAGCTGTTTGCTGTATGATAATTTATATTGATTTTCTCTGCAATTATAAATTATAGGGTATTCATCTGTACAGGAAGTGACCATTAAATTGGTTTGTGTTGTGAAAATGTTCAAGTGTATTTGAGTACATTACCCAGTAGATAAAGCGCACTTTACATTCAACAGTACTACGTTGTGCCATTGGACCCTATACTTCAAAATTTCTGTGGATTCTCAATCCATCATTTGGTTAGCCTTTAGAAACAATAAGCCGGAGGGCCACTACTTCAAAAGGCATTCATTTATTAAGGAACAAAGGCTGGAGCTTCCTAGCATTTGTGTATAGATCTGGGCTAAAATTGCAGTGAATCAAGCAAACCCTTTCAACCTGCCCCCTTCAGTATCTGCCTGTTCCTGTGTTGGACCTGCTTTAGGAGGCAGTGGCCCCAAATCTGTGGGGTGAAAACATAGTGAATGTGCAGAATAGATTAGAGACAGGGAATGCAATGATGGGACATAACCATACTTGCAGCTCCTGCCTGAAAGGGGAAATTTTAACACATCGTTGATTATGCTAACTGAACCAAACCATGGCTCTTTCTTTCCTATCAGTTCTGTATCACTAAAGCTCTAAAACTGAGAAGCATCCTCTTCAAAGCAAGACAACATTTCTGTCAGCTGTTGCTAGCTTTCATAGCCTCACATACACTCAGTGCTGTTAGGCTTTCCTTTCCATTGAGTCAGTTTTGATTTAAAAACAATAAAAGTAAGAGAATGTTATGAAATGTTGTGCTGCTGACAGGAAGAAATGAATTTTCAGTCCGTGGGTTTGATTCCTCTGGATATTGCATGTAGTAATAAATAACTTTTGTACTGTTTTAAAGGCAATGTTTATTTGTGCCACAACACTCAAAGCAGAAATTTGAGTTACTTTTAATTAGTCCACTTAGTCATAATATGCTGGTCATTTGAAGCTTATCCCATTCCTCATGCTACCAGTGACAGACCAATAGATTGCTCACAAATCTGAAATGTACCCTGACTGCATTTAATTTCGGTGAAGTATTTGTAACCATGCCATTTAACCCCATGGTCAGTAAGGGCACGTGGTCAGAGTGAGGGACATTGAGTGAGACATCTAGGAAATCGGTTCCAAGTGGGAATTCATGACAAGGTGAGAAAAAGGTACTTTAAGTAAGGGTTAATTCAAGAAATAAAGTGTGCTGAGTGAGGAGTTTGGTGACACCTCAGTTTAGGGTGTTGTGTTTTGTTTTGGACACCAGACTATAGGAAGGATGTGAATGCATTGCAGAGAGTGCTGAAATGATTCACAAGGCACTTCTAGAGGTGAGTAACTCGTAATAAGGATTGGAAAGGTTGAGACTGTTCTCCTTAGAGAGCAGAAGGCTAAGAGGAGATCTGACCAAGGTTTCACATTCATGAGGAGGCTGGACAGAGTAGATAGAGAAAACTCTTCCTGCTTGTAAAAGAGTTGAGAACAAAAGGGCACAGATTTAAAGTGAATTGCAAAGCAAGCAACTGTAGGGTGAGAAAAAAACATTTTCACAACTTGTGACTTGGGTCATAAATGAACTACCAAGAGAAGTATGATGATGACCGACTAAATTGAGGCATTTGAAAGGGCATTGGTTCATTTAAATACTCATCCAATGTGTGAGACTATGGGAAAAAGGCAGGGGAATGATAATAAGACATGGTGCTTATTCAGAGAGGTGGTGCAGACAAGATGGGCTGAATGACCTCCTCCTGTATAGTAATGATTCTGTGATACCATGGACTTTTTCTGTTACATTGCTCTCTTCCCCCTCTGAACAATGTAGTTATTTTGTCTGCAGTGTGCTAATTATTCTTGCGAAAAGGATGATGTGATTTGCAGTCTGTAAAACACGATATTCTTTGGGTATAAAATTACATGTGGCTGCATTTCAAATTTGCCTCAGATCTGATCCTGTTGCATTCCTTTCCTGCAGTCATAGGTGGGCAAATAAGTTGAGTGAAAATAAAAACAGAAAACACAAAAAGAATCGGCAAGTGAAGTTAGGCTGCAGTTGTGGAGAAAGAAAGTTAATGTTTCAGGTCTATGGTCTTTTATTATAACTGGAAACAGTTATGGATACAAGTTTTAAGCACGTACAGAGGTATGGCAAAAGTCACTGTGTAGAAAGAGCAAAAGTGAATGCTTATGACATGATGGAAGATGGGCAAGTTTACAAACTGGAAGAAGAGTTGTTGTACCAAAACATCTAGGCCCTCATTTTAAGCACTATGGTAACAGATTACTTTGTTAATAATGATTCACAGTTTAAATGTCAAACTGAAATGATTTTAATTCTTCCTTTTAACTTGTTTGCCATGAATAGTAACGTGTGAAAATTCTACAGACCACCAATGACTCCCTGAGAAAGGCCCCTCCCCTCCACTCGATGAATATAACATGGTACATGATAACTTTGCATTGACCCCATGATGCTATCATACCAGTTAGCCAGTGAGCATGGAGATCAGCAGCTTGCCTGCCATTTCAGAAGTGTTACTAAACTTGTCAATGACCTAATTATCTATAACTTCTTATTACTCACCACAAATTTTGGCAGCTACGATGAGGTAGCACAGGGGCGTTTGAAACCATCTCCCACTGGAATCTCGGCTCAATGGAATTCTGCTGAGTAAGGTGGCAGTGGCTCTGTGAGTTTTAAAGTTTTAATTTACTCCTTTTGAGCTCTCATTTAAAATAAAAAGGCCTGGATCGAATCACAGTGACTCAAGACACTACTAAAAATGGCAAGTGCATTCCAATTCCAGGATTCCTGAGCCCATTCCCAGAGTTTCTGATTTTAATCAGGCTTTTCTAATATGTGGGCTGCTTCTTGTCTCATGCACACATCTGCCACATCTAACCTGCCAAATCAGGTACAGAGATAGGTAGTAATGAGACTTTATAGTGAGTTTTCAACTGGAAAATCCAAAACTTTCAACTTTCAGAGAAAGAGGATGAGGATAAAGGCTGTTCTCCCAATGGCAAGTTCATTCAAGCTGTATTCAAAAGAAAACTGGATCATGTGATCCAAATTTTGCAGATTTGGTGCCTCCATCAAGGCAACTTGGTTTTTTTTTAAATACAATATTAGTGCTGGTGTAGTGTTCTTTTCATACAATCCAAAGTAATATAAATATCCAACCGATGATAGAAATTAACATTTTGGTTTCACTCCAGTGGGAAACTCTCACCAACTGGGGAATTGACACAATTGGGGGCACATGCATTACTGAGAAAGTTTCAGTACTGACAAAGTAAAGCTTACTTGCCAAGCAGTAACTGATGTTATCAGAACATCACCTCCAAGAAAATTGTTCAGAGGCAGGAGATGTCATGGAGCAAACCTGATCTGGACATTTCAAATATCCATATCTCCCTCCTCCAAAAATGACTCTATAGGCTGGAAATATTCAGCCCAATATGTCTCAAAAAACAATGAATTAAATGAGCAGTTAATTTGTTTTGGTGAAGTTGTATAAGGGAAAAAACTTTGGACAGTACGCTGCAAGAACACTTCGTCCTTCTTTAAACATTAGCATTGTATCCTTAACATCAACTTGAATAACTTAAACAGTAAAATGTGGCTTCAATATACATCTACTTCAGAGGTCAAAGCAGCATTCCCTGAGTACAGTGCTTAAATGTCAGGTAAGTGAAAGTACCCGATATTATCTTGCACATGATTAATTGATCTCCATTCATTACCCTGGTCTCAACCTGGGACAAAAGGGCTACATTAGGGCCTGAATACTAGGGCTCTGGAAGAGCTCCTGTGTTCGGCTCAGGGGTCGGTTCACTGTATAGGGGGAGCAACACTGGGAGCTCTATTTCCTGTCCCAGCCCCTGTCCTTCATCATATCCCAATTTAAAACTGCTCTCAAAATACTACCTGTTGGAAGCTGAGCTCTAAATCTGGAATCATTTTGAACTACACATTCACATTTGGATATTTGACGAAGCAATTAAAGAAATTTGAGCTCTTTGTGTTAAACTTGAGATAGTAGAATATGCAGTTCACAGCTGAAGTCGTTTGCCTGGTCCCCATGCGCAATAAATAAAAGTAGGGGAATTAGTAGAAAGGTAGGACCATACAGAGTGGGAAATGACCTTGTGATCTGCTTGACATTTCCAATTGCCAAGAAAGCCATCATAATGTATGCTTGAGCTTTAAGAGCATATGTTAATGTTTATCAGACACCATTGCGAGAAAGAGCAGAATACCCACCCGTCAGGGGAAGAACAACAATGAACAATTTCAACCTGTTGCTTTCCCCATTGTGTGTCAGTCTTAACAGTGACATGAACACTGTCTAACCATACAAGATAATTTTTTCATAAGGCAGGGCTTGTAGCTTTACGTAATAATTGAAATAATTATTGGATGTAATACTGCTTCTCATTCAATGGGAGCAAATGACTTTGAGTGGTACAGAACCAATATCACGTACTAATATGCAATAATTGCGTAGAAAGTTTAGATTATCGAAGTGTAAACAAGTGCACGTTTTTTTAAAATATCGGTATGAGTCAGCACTGCATTCACAAGCCTGGTATTTGTTTAACTGCAATCCTGTTGTAAATATTGTCAAGAAAGGATTTCAGATTGAAGGGAATGAAAATGTCCCACCCATAGTTAATTGTGTCAGGGAATAAAGCCTGTGGCCATTTGGTTGATTATCAAAGTGCACATTTTTCTACAACAAAAACATAAGTTGTTGGAAAAGCTCAGCAGGTCTGGCAGCATCTTGTGAAGAAAAAAACGAGAGTTAATGTTTCGGGTCTGGCGAGGAAGGGTCATCGGACCTGAAACGTTAACTCTGATTTTTTCTTCACCGATGCTACCAGACCTGCTGAGCTTTTCCGGCAACTTCTGTTTTTGTTCCTGATTTACAGCATTCGCCGTTCTTTCGGTTTTTTGGCAAATCCTTCAATTGGAGTCTCTCAGTCAGCCATAACTGTGAGTAGCTGCAGCGCAACTGACTTCCCATGTAAAAGACTCCATGCACCAGCTGTTACCATGGGCTTACCACAGAGCAGAAAGCATGTATCTTCCTCGTTTCAAGGGACTGCTAATGAATGGATCCCGATGAACTTAACAAGGAGATATTGAAGTTATACAGGAGCATGCAAGAAAATAATAGTCAAAGACTAATCACAAAATGATGCAATATTGACATCCCATGGAGTTGAAATGTATTTTCCCTTCAAAGTGACAAATACAATGTGCTGCATAAATATAATCTTGATTTCATTACAGTGAAAAAAGAAGTAGCTTCTTTGACTTTTCCCCTTTTGATTTTGCATTTTCGTACATCCGATAAATCAATGATTAAATTAGAACATAGAACAGAGAACAGTACAGCACAGTACAGGCCCTTCGGCCCACGATGTTGTGCCGAACTTTTACCCTAAACCTAAGGTCTATCTAACCTCCACCGCTACCTTATACTATCATCCATATGCCTATCTAATAGCCGCTTAAATGCCCCTAATGAGGCCGACTCCACTACCCTCTCTGGCAATGCATTCCACGCCCCGACCACTCTCTGAGTAAAGAACCTACCTCTGACGTCTCCCCGATATCTCCTCCTTTCACTTTAAAACTATGTCCCCTCGTAAAAGCTACCTCCACCCTAGGAAAAAGTCTCTTGCTGTCTACTCTATCTATACCTCTGATCATTTCGTACACCTCCATCAAGTCACCTCTCATCCTTCGTCGTTCTAAAGAGAAAAGCCTTAGCTCTCTCAACCTTTTAGCTTGAGATTGACAAAAGTTGCAGTGATCTGACTAAGCAGAGTGAAACAAAACGGACACGTCAACTTTTAATTTAGTTTTGATTTTATTTACATATTATATTAGAATGGCAAATAGCTAATAAGATTCCAAATAATTAATGGAACTAGGCCATTCACTTAATCAAATGCAACATATTTTCTGAAAGGGAGAGTATGCAGTGTCAGAGTCACTTCCCCAGTGGAAAATTAAGTATCACCTTACTTTTAATACCTAACCTGAGACAACAGAGGGAGACTTCTTCATGTTACTTCCATCACAGCTTTGACAGACTAAATAGATGCCAAACGATTTAGATCTTATTCTTGGCAGTCAGAGGGAGCAATGGAAAGGACATCACGGAACTAAAACTTCACGTTCTCTGCTTAAACAAATTTATGGAGGGACTATCAGAAACAACTGCCCATTATTTCCCAACCAACTCATACAGGGAGAACTGTAACAAAAGCGGAACTGAGTTCTGAAGAAGGGTCACTGGACTTAAATGATAACTCTGCTTTCTCTCTACGGCTGCTGCCAGACCTGCTGAGTTTCTCCGGAAATTTCTGTTTTTGTTTCTTACTTCTGGCTTCCACAGTTGTTTGTTTGATTTCAGTATCTTGCTGGAGCACGCAACCATTGAATCAGTCATTTAAAATTCAGTCACATCAACAGACCAACTCATGAAAATCTGAGGTTTGAAATAAAAACCATGTTGTTATTTTTTTACAAACATCAATCAAATAGAATGACACTTGGATTTAATCTGTAACAGGACAAGGACATATTGCAACAAAAAAGACTATGAGCAGAGTCTTACTGGGTCCTGAACAATGTGGTCTCAGGTGTGAAATCTGCAGAACTGTGTGAAGTGCAATGAAACCTTTCCGTATGTTGTGGGCAACTAGTTGCATTTCTAATAAAGCTCTGGATGTTGAGATGAGATTCTTAGTTGGGAATGGCAAGAGGCCTATTAACAGGAAGTAAACTGAGGTAAAGTTGCCAGAGTCCCAGAGGACATAGGCGTGCTCTCATTAGAGAGGGGCAATTGGTTTTGTTTTAACCTGAAGGTCACTACACCTCAGGTGAGGGGTGAGGTTGATAAGGTGGATCTTTCAAGCTGCGTATTGCTGATTATTGAACACTCAATTTCACCCCCGAAATATGCAGCTTCCTAATGTACCACTAAACAGACTGAAATTATTAGCTAAGAATTCCCGAGAGAGTCGTTACCTGGTGACTCCAGCTCACTTGCTCCTGCAGAGTGCCAGAATGGACTCCCAGCACCAACATATTCTGGCACAGTCCAGGGCAGTAGCCATGTATACCCCATGTCCATGGGTGCTGGCATCCAACATGCGCCAGCTCCCTAAGCCATCATGGCACACCTCTGGTCCATTTACAGTTTACTTCTGCACTTCAGTACAGCACTTGGTAACATAATGGCACTTATTAATGTAATGCTGCGCAAGGACGCTCGATGTGCTGGGACAGGCACCCAGCTCACAGTTTGAACCAGGAGACATCTCAGGGCTGCTCATTCATTGTCTTAGTGCTCAAACCCTTTGTGCCTACTTGTCCTGGTTGTTTGCAATCAGCAGTCAAATGAGTGGACACCTCACCGTATGGCACATCGTTATACCAATCTCACACTTAACGCCATGTACCAACCATATGCACGGCAAACATACAGCACGTGCTTCAAGAGAATGGCCATGTCTCAAAGTCTTAGAGGTGTAGTCCTCACTGAGGGTAGAATTTATGTCAACTAAACATCAAAGGGAGATGATGTTATCAAGGTGATATGGCAAGGAGGCTGAGGAATTTAATGACGAGAGTGGACATAGAGTGCTGTGATACATAGGGAATTACATTAGTGAAGAGGGCATCTCAGTATAAAAGGCAGGGAGACGATATAACATGGGAAGGTAAGGCATCATGTGGGAGGGGAGATCGATGGTAAATATCAACCTGGCTTTCAGTGGGGACAGTGAACTACAAGACCTGGTATGTTCACCTTGTATGCCTGGGACAGAGGCATACTCAGACAGGTTGAGTGTGGATTGTGTAGGTACGAGACCTGTGAGGTTGAGGAAAAGGTCTATCGGGAAGAGATGTTGATGTTTGGGGATTCACCCACACAGCAAAATGGAGCCTGAAACTCTGCTAGCAGAACAGCCTTACATTGTCCTGTAAATCCCAGTGTGTGCTGGAAATGAAAACGACTGCGTTCACATCTGGAGTGGCATAGGTAAGTGCCGCTGTCTGTGAGGGAGGGGCTCAGCGCATTATAACTGTGTGGGGCCCTTCAAAAGACAATATCAGTGAACACCTCCCCTCATAGAGGAAAGGCAGAATACACCAGCATTCCTCGTGAGCTTTAGGCATTATCCTACTGTATACATTCCACCTCCTGACCATCTCGTACAGGTTAGTGACTGAACCCCACTGGTAACTGGGATACAACAGCAATGTCTCTGTCCCTGGGGACATGGAGCTGAGTTACTAATGTTGCAATGGCCTGTGATGTCCCCCATTGCTTGCACATGGTGCAGCAGCTGCTGACTTCACAACGTGCTCCACGGAACATTGTCTGGGAATCGGATGGGCGGCTTCAGTTAATTTGCGTTTGCTGTTTCAGTGACACAGAGACTCACACAAACAGATTAGAGTGAAACATTTCATGGTTATTTACAGATGCAATGACTTATCTACAGCCAGGTGTCACCTGCACCTTTAATGTGCCCTGAAAAGGTTTTCCTCCTCCTTTCTTTGCTATCGCATCTCAGTGTAATCCCGGAGGACACATCCGGGGCATTCTTTGTGGAGGAGCTCGTTGGCCTTGGAGTTTTGGTTCGGCAACCCTGGGGGTGTTTCTATCCAGTAGGGTGTGACATGCTGCGCATGTGCCCTGCCCAGAGGCAAGTGCACTTCCCTCGGCTGCAGCTCCCACAGGGCTGAGGGTAGCAGACAGGCTGAAGATGTGAGACACGGCCCCCGGGCCCCCCTCTTCCCTGGGGTTGAGAAGATACCTGGTCTCCAACAGTCCTGCCATCTGTGGCATTACCACTATGCCACCAGAGCCCTGAAGGGAGCTCATATTATTGGACTTGTCACCTCTTTGGTAAAACATTATGCCAAGACCCCATTTGCTTGTTCAGATATACACAAGAGATTCCATTGGAATATACAACAAAAAGCAGGGAATTCTCCAGCTTACAGAGCTCAGGGCAAAGGAAAACTCCCAACAAAATTTTGAAGCATATTTGGGGAAATGGTCACAAATTTACTGCAGTTCATTTAACTCTTTTATGGTAGCAAGGACCCCATGGCTCATGAGGACTTCAAAATCTGTACCCTGCACATGCATGCATATCAGTGGCTGTTGCGATTTTACATAATTATATGTAATGCAATTAATTTGAGGAGTATTCAGTATTGGGGAGCTCCTTGTAAAACCTTTAATAACGTGTCTTTCTAAAACTGTAAGCAACTGCAACAGAGATCACATGCGCTATGGCATGCTACAACATGCAGTGACCTTACAAATCCATTTCTCCGAACATGTCCCTTTTCAGAAAAAAAAAATCTGTGCACTATTCATTGCACTTACAAGTTAGCCAACGTCCGTGGCCTTTAGGAAATTATCATATCATGAACAATTTTTTTTAACCTGAGTTGATCCCACGTTCATCCATCTCTGCATATGAATTGAAAAGACAATCTGTAGATTGTTTAGGTATTCCTATGATATGTGTAGAAGTTGTTGTTGGCTGTTAGTCTGGTATTTGTTTATTCATTAATGCTGGGAATATCTTTGCCATGATGATTGTTTGACCAAAACAAAGCATTTGTTATTCAGATTCAAAGTGTGTGTTGAGTTCATGAGTTCCAGCGCATGTCATGCTGTTGCCTTGTGTTGAATCTGAAAGATTTCATGCTCTTTTACTACCTTCCTCCACGTCCTTCATAGGGATTGCAGCCCTTTTGCTTGCTTCCTCATTTCAAAATGAAACCTTGCAAACAAAGTAACATTCTTTGCAGACTCTGGAGCAAATCGATGTGGTTTGAGAAAGATGCTTTGAATTGGCTTGTGGTCACACTTGTCCGTGATTTAGTTTCTCCCAAACAGTTATTGATTAAAAGGCGCACAGTCAAAAACAATTGCCAGGCTCCCTCTCTAAATCTGTGCACAGCGTTGTTCACTTGTATTGCTGACCTGGTGCAAATATAAACATTTTTATTCATGAATGAATACATGTTGCTGGCTGGGTCAACATTTATTGCCCGTCAGAAGTTGCCCTTGAGAAGATGGTGGTGAACTTTCTTCTTGAACTGTTGCAGTCCATGTTCTGTAGGTTGACCCACAATACCATTAGAGAGGATCTTCCAGAATTTTGATCCAGTAAAACTGAAGGAATGATGATATATTTCCAAATTAGGATAGTGTGTGGCTTGGAGAGGAACTTGGTGCTAGTGGTGTTCCCATGTAGCTGCTGCCCTTGTCCTTCTAGATTGAAGTGGTCATCGATTTGGAAGGTGCTGCCTGAGGAGCCATGGTGAATTTCTGCAGTGTATCTATTGTTGCCCCAAGTCCTGTATCACTGGTATCATGCTGCAAGATGACTTCATCATTGACTTTGTAGTACCTCAGCATTGACACTGTCATTATTCATTGTTTGGTGTGAGTGAAAAAATCTTTGTGTTCAATGCCCCAATGTCACTGCAGATTTTTTTTATGGTGAGCCTGTGTAGATATTTATTGTTTAATGGGAAATTAGGCAAAAATTATTCTGGGTCAAGCACAAATCAATAAATCATTGTACAGCTTTCACATCTGTTGGTTTCTACATCTCTATTAAACTTGCAGTTTGTCTGGATCAGGGCAAAGTTCTTTTCCCGGAGGAAAGTGAGCAGTGTAAATATTTTCAGTCACCTTCGATTTCACCTTCATCTTCAGCTTCGGGTTTACCTGGTGAGCTCTGTTGCTCTGTTACCACTTTAGGAGCTAAGTATGCCAATGAACCAAGGACCAGTGTGACATGAAATGAACAGCAGCTATTTAGGCAGCAGCATGCTTGTTTAAGAATATATGCACAAGTTGTCCTATAACTGCAGATTGTCAGTTTGTCTGCCAAGTGAACTTGTTTGAGACTTAAAGTAAATAGAATCTTAGAATCCCTACCATGCAGATAGAGGCCATTCAGCCTATCAAGTCTGCACTGACTCTGTGAAGAGCTCTGACCTAGCCCCCTACGGTATCTCCGTAACTCCACATTTACCATGGCTAATTAACCAGCTTGCACATCCCTGAACACTACCGGGCAATTTAGCATGGCCAATCCACCTAACCTGCATATTCCTGGATTGTGGGAGGAAACCAGAACAACCAACAGAAAACCACACAGACATGGAGAACATGCAAACTCAACACCTTAGGTTAGAATTGAACTCAGGTCCCAGGCACTGTGAGGCAGCAGTGCTAACCACTAAGCCACTGTGTCATTCAAGCCTACACAATTTACCAACCCAGTGTGAGAGTGTGGTAATTCTGTGTTAAGTGACACAGTGCAAGAATACACCACCTTTAGCAGTTGTAATAGATTCAAATTCTTGCATTATCGCTGCACAGTAGATCATCCATGATTGTTTCCACTCTGGAAAGATTACTGACTGTCTTATTTTGCCTGTGTTGACGCTCCTTTGGAGCTGTAGAAATATCAAATGATGTATATAATAATTTGGAACTCCCAAGTGTTTCAAAATTATAGTTAGAAAACATGAATTAGCTGGCTGTTTTATAGCTCTCAAAATCTACACCATTTCAGTTGTTAGCTTCTGATAACATGGTCTGAATTTTACCAGAAATGTGTCATCTTTGGCATTTGCCAACTCACCACAGATGGAAGTACTGGCCACTGCTGGGACCTCCCAGGATTCCTGGCAAAAACACCATCTTAAAAGACCACCCATTCACCCAGTCAAGTGCTGGCCCTCCGCAG